GCCGCTTCCGCAAATTAAACAATTTAAAAAAACCATTTTATTGGTAGAGCCCGCTCATTTTTTAAATAAGGGATCTATTCAACCCCCCTTCTAGATTCGTGCCATCGTCTAATAGTGTTTTATGTAATTTTACTTTTACGGATCTTTGTATAAAATCTCTTTTACAACTCTTAATCGATATCATCTTTGCTTTAATATCTATCTTAATGGATTTACATCGCTATAGACATATACTTTTCGAACTCAATCTAAGATGTACGTCTATTGTTTGTGGGAAATGGTATAATATTCACATATGTGTTGGATCTTAATGCTCTGTATTGTTTAGTTGCATGAGACATCACCTCCGAGAGAATGTGGTTGATCTCTCAATGTTTGTGTTAGACATAACCTTTTGTTGTGAGAAATACATGGGTATTTTGACAAGTGATTTAGATTATCTGCATTTGATCCATAGATTTTTTAGTAAATGATGGGTAGAATGAAATACAACTCCTAGCGAGTTTTCTCATGTCTTAAGAATGTATTGATTTTCTTGTCATAATTTTATTCTTTTTTCATTTTGCTCACTCTAAAACCATTTAAACCTAAGCTTAGAGACGTAGAGACTTTCGAACGACATACTTTCCCTTGCACTGATCCCTATGGAGACGACATAAATCTCTGAGGGAATTCTTCCGAAAATAATTTTTGCTTGCCGCTTTACCGCAACCAACACCAGCATACATCTGATATCAATATGATTCTGGCGTGTCTTTATGTTAATGACATATTGCTAACATGGAGTTGTTCAAATGAGATAGTCAAGTTCAAGAAGGTGATGATGAATGAGTTTGAGATGATTAATCTAGGAAATATGGTATATTTTCTAGGGGTTGATATTTTGTACTCTTATAAGGGTATAATTTTGCATAAGCTGAAGTATGAGCTTGAACTTCTGAATAGATTTGAGCTAATAAACTGCAAGTCTGCAATCACACCTGCTAAAACAAATCACCAGCTGGACTCTGATGTTGAGGGTGATGATGTAGATGCTAAAACCTTTAAACAGTTGGTGGGCTCATTAAGATATCTATGCAATACCAGACCTGACATCTGTTATGCAGTTGGAATGATGAGTAGGTTTATGAACAAACCAAAATGGTCACATTATCAAGCTGCTGTCAGGATACTGAGGTATATTAAGGAGACTCTGATGTATGGAGTTTTGTTCCCTTTTGATGCTAAATCTGATTTAGAGTGGATATTCTATTTAGACTTTGATTGGTGTGGAGACAGAGTTGACATAATAAGTACTTTTGGATATTTCTTCAAGTATCTAGAAGGTTCCATTTCTTGGTGCTCTAAGAAGAAAGCAGTGGTTGTATTGTCAACCTTTGAAGCTGAGTACATTGCAGATTCTTTGTCTACATGTCAAGTTATCTGGATTATGAACTTATTGCAGAATCTAAAGATCAAGGATAGCAAGACTATGAGGTTGATGATTGACGATAAAGTAGCTATAAGTCTTGCCAAGACACTACTACAAATATAACGTCGCACATGAAAGAGATGTAACCTCGGCTACCAAGGCAACATAATAAAGGGTGACATGAAAATTTGCCACTTAACACCTCGGTTAAAGAAAAACCGAGGGGTAAAGTTATATGATCATGGGTTCAAACCCTAACATCTGCATTTTAATTATTTACAAAAACAGTGTCTTATACCTCTCGGTTTATTTAAAAATTAAGGGGTTAGATAATTTGTTTTTTTTTATAAATAAAACTCATTACATAGTTTACACTGAATATTAATAAATTAATTTGTTTACAAACTACATTGTTTACACAGAATATTAAAGTAAAAATGTTATTCTTCATCGCCATCATTGTCGGTGAAGAACATATAATAGATATCTTGGAGAAGATCAAATGTTGGGGATCCTCGTTTTATTAATCTCGAGGAAGATCAAATATTGAATGTAATATATTCTCTATGACTTTTGCATTCATTTTTTTTTATATCAAACAAAAAAAAAGTTCACTAAATAAAATAAATATTCAGTTGCATGATTATTTAAGAACACAAACATTGAACCCATGATAATTTTCTACACTTGCAATCCATCACATAAATATTTGGCAAAGTAAATACACTCTCACCAACCACATATTAAATAAACTTTATTTTTTTCTGCTCTTGCAATCTATCACAATGATAATTTTACTTTGTAAAATCTCATGGAGCTCTAATTAATCATAGAGAGTTTCACAACAACTTTTGAGTTTCTTGTAGATTCACTACTATCAAATTTAAATATTCATAATGCTTATATAATAAAGATTTTAGGTTTCACGAAGATCACTAATGGCAGTGTCTTAAGCGTTGATAGTCATTAAATGGACGCTGAAGATTTGTTTAAGGATGATGAAGAAACTGGAAAAAACAAGCTTATACTTTACCTCAATTATTACTCAAATCGAGGTAAATTGTGTTTCTTTTTAAATAAAAAAATAAAAACATACGTTCTATCCCAAGCCACATACCTCTCGGTTTTGTTTAAAACCGAGGGAGGAAATCTTTATTTTATATTTACGTTATTTACACAGAATATTAAAATAAATTACTTAAACAAATAAAGAGTTTGACAACGGATTCTTGGAGAACAACCCATAGGAGGGAATATATGTTCCAAACAAGAGAATATTTTTTATATTTACATTGTTTTCAGATTTCTGAGAAGTTATTTGTTCCAACCAAGAGAATTTTTTTTCTGTACTTGCAATCCTTCCCAAATTATATTGAGTAAATGTTTTCACGGAAAATACTTTCACATGAAAGAGAAATGGATGATTATGTTTAGTAATAAATTTTCCAATGTTGTCAATCGAGGAAAGCAATAGATTTCTCAATATTTTCTTTAATTGACAATATAGGAATGATATTACATAAATACAAAAAAAAACATCAACACCATTATGTGAGATAAATTGCAAAGGCAAAAAAAATCTTTTGTTTAAGATAGAACAATATTGAAAAAAATTTCTGTCTTGCAATTTGTAACGCACCATACTACTTTCAGGATTACTGACTGACCCCACAAACCAACACGAGTTTTTTTAGCATGCTTTGTCCTCACTCACATGCTTTCCGAGAAACTTCCCAGAAGGTCATCCATCCCAAAATTTCTCTAAGTCAAACACGTTTAACTATGAAGTTATTATGGAATGGGCTACCAAAAAGAAGATTCATTTTGTTTTCGGTAGCCTAACCAATAAGAACTTCATAGTTAAGTGTGATTGACTTGGAGTAGTATTGGGATGAGTGACCTTTTGGGAAGTTTCTTTAAAAACGTGTGAGTGAGGACAAAGCAAGCAGAAAAGACCCGTGTTGGTTTATGGGGTCAGTTGATAATTCCTGAAAGTAGTCTAGAGTATTAGAAATGGTATCAGAGCCGACCTCTCCCAGTACGATGTGGTTCGAGGACGAACCAAGTGGAAGCTGGTGGGAATATAACACCCAAGGCTGAAGAGGGCGAGGGAGTGGTTGTCGGTACACGAGACATGTCAATGAGACACTCCTAGCAACTTCTAGAGAAATACCAATTCGCATCAGAATGAGAGGGACCTCGAAGTTATGCAAGTATGAGACTATATGGTTGAAGGAAAACTTATAAGGATTAATTGGTATTACCTATACCAATAAGATGCATATTCTTTTCGGTAGTCTAACCAATAAGAACTTTATAGTGAAGCGTGTTTGACTTGGAGTAGTATTGGGATAGGTGACCTTCTGGGAAGTTTCTCAGAAAACGTGTGAGTGAAGACAAAACAAGCTAAAAAACCCCGTATTAGTTTATGGGTCAATCGATAATCTTGAAAGCAATCTGTGGCGTTACACAATCCATCCCAAAGAATGATTCTTGTGAGTTTGGTGCAACTTCATATTAGTAATGATTAGAGTAAAATATATTTAACGAGTGCTTTTATAGTAAAATCGTATTATTTTATGCCTCAGTTAAATAGAAAACTGAAAGGTTAAAACATTTTGTTTACACTTATAAACAATTAAAATCATAAACTATGATAGCTAGAAAACGAAATTTGTACGGACGAAAAAATATATCCATTACTGAAACATTTTTTTGGAGCTAACATGATGGTTAATATCAAAAGGAAAATTGTTTGCAAATATTAATTCATACTCTATAGTTAATGCCATCAAACTACTCAAATACTATTTTAAAGTAATTTTAATTATAATTTAATGATTTTATGTTAAACTTTGTGTTTATTACAACTTACACATTTTCATATAATTGAATATTATGACTATATATTCTAATTTAGTTTGGTCAGACTAAAGACAAAGAATTATATTCACTGCTAAAACACTTTTTTAGGAGATAACATAACAATTAATATTGTTAGGAAAATTGTTTGCATCACTAATTTATTTTTGATATTCAGAGGTACCTTATGAACAAAAACCCAATTATGGAAATCTTGATAAACATAATTCCAATAGTTTGGTTTCAATTTAACCCAATAGAATATGATATAGAATTTGCTTTCAATAATCTTTGTTGGTATAGAAGCTGTTATTTTACTCTCATTTTCATGATTGAACAGTGACATAAACTAGTTATTTACAAAATAGAATTGTGAAAAGTTATGATATTCAATAATACAAAACTACAACAAAGAAGATAACACACGAATCACACATGATAATACTAAGATAAACATATATAATTAATAAAACATAGTTGCTCCTTACATAGAAGTCTAACAAACAACCACCTAAGTTTGATAGACTAAAGAGACACCAACTCAATCGATTAAACTGACAATATTTAAAACACAATTATCTAGTTCATAGAAACAAGACCTTATTTAGTACACAAACAAGACCTTAGTTAATACATAGAAACCAAATCTTACAGTACAAACATTAAAGCACACAATAACAACATGACACAGACACTGACTAACAAATATGAACTAGTTTCCATTTGTTCATTTGGTGGCATCTGATGGGGCTGGTACCCATAGAATATGCTTAACAGGGAAGAAATGGCACAATGGAGCTTCCCCGGGCTTCATTCCAAGTAGTTCAAATATAAAATGATTAGGATTCATGTCAGATGTATCAAGGTGGCAAATTCCCAAAGCATCCATTATGTCTCCATATTCACCCTTTAGAAGAACTTTGAAGATCTTACTCCCTATGTCTAGGTAGTGACAATAGTAAAGAGCATATAGGTAAGGTCTAGGGTGACATGCTACCCATTTAGGAGCATAAATATCCTTTGAGATATCCAAAATAGTGTAGTTCTGCAAAGGTGCACCTGATGTTGTGGGATAGCTAGTCGAGTGAATGTTAAACTTAGTATCGGCACCAATAACACTATGAACAAATTCAACCATAGACTCTAAAGAAGTGGGACAAGCCTTGGTCTCTCCTTTTTGGGGTTCAAACTCACACTGATTAATTATGTCTTTCAAGTCTTCACCTTGGGGAGAATCTTTGGTGAGGGAGAATAGTTGAAGAAGGCTTGGAATTTGTGATTTGGAAAAAGGAATGTCATCGGCAACTTTTCTTGGCAATAATGGAGCATATTCTCTAATAGGAAATTGCAAGGTCATTACATTACCTACATAAAGATCATCTAGACTGAAAAAAGCTACCTTGTATGCTTCTGTATGGTCAACTTTTGAAGATAGTTTTCCATTTGATTCTGTATGTGAATTTTTCAACCAACCATCAAGGTATGCTTGCTTGTAATTGGGGGTGAATTTTGATTTAGCAACATGACTATCTTTTAACCAGCCATCAAGGTAAGCTTGATTGAAGTTATGAGTTGTCTTTTCCTTTTGATCCTTAGAATCTTTCGACCACCCATCAAGGTAAACTTTGTTGGAGTTAGAGGTGAATTTTTCTTTCTCAGCTTGTGTATTTTTCAACCATCCATCAAGGTAAACTTGGTTTGATTTGGTGGTGGATTTTTCTTTCTGAACTTGAGTATCTTTCAACCATCCATCAAGGTAAACTTGGCTAGAGGTGGATTTTTCTTTCTCAACTCGAGCATCTTTCAACCATCCATCAAGGTAAACTTGGTTGGTGTCACGGGTCTCACCTCGATTATCTTTCAACCATCCATCAAGGTAAACTTGATTAGAGTCAGGGGTGGATTTTGCTTTCTCAACTCGGGAGTCTTTCAACCATCCATCAAGGTAAACTTGGTTGGTGTCAAGGGTTGATTTTTCTTTCTCATCTCGGACATCTTTCAACCATCCATCAAGATAAGTTTGTTTGGAGTCACTGGTGGATTTTTCTTTCTCATCTCGAACATCTTTCAACCATCCATCAAGGTAAACTTGTTTGGAGTCAGGGCTGACTTTTTCTTTCTCAGCTCGAGTATCTTTCAACCATCCATCAAGATAAACTTGTTTGGAGTCAGGATTGCCTTTTGCTTGCTCAGTTCGGGTATCTTTCAACCATCCATCAAGGTAAACTTGTTTGGAGTCAGGGTTACCTTTTGCTTGCTCAGTCCGGGCATCTTTCAACCATCCATCAAGGTAAACTTGTTTGGAGTCATGGTTGGCTTTTTCTTTCTCGGTTCGGATATCCTTCAACCATCCATCAAGATAAGCCTGGTTGGAGTCAAAGTTGGTTTTGTCTTTATCTCCTCGGTTATCTTTCAACCAACCATCAAGGTAAACTTCATTGGAGTTAGAAATGGATTTTTGATTCTTTATTGGATTTTTGAGCCAACCATCAAGGTAAGGTTGATTAACTTGTTTTTCTTCTACATTCTCTTGCAAAAGTTTCGCGTCTCTTGCAAAGCTTCCATGACCATTCTACCATAAAATTAAATAAAGGGATATTAATGACAAACAACTTATTACATGTTTTTGAATGATGTATTTGATCACAATTAGTAATAAATGAATACAGATTGTGAGACAAAAGATTAACAAAAATAATCTTTAAAATTTCATTGCATTCAAAAGCATTATATATTTTATCAAATCAAATATAACAACTCCATTGTTAGTGCTATGAATGCATGTAAAACAATTAAGGAAGAAGTTCTTAGAAGCATATGTCCAATTGCAAATAAAGATGAATACATGGTAAAAAAAACGGAGGAGGATCTTACTTAAAATGTCTGCAATTACAAATAAAGACAAAGATGGTAGATGGATTATAAAATTTTGAATTTTATTAAATTCTTTATGTATATAAAGGATATTATATTGATACAAATTTTGAATTTTATTAAATTCTTTATGTATATTGATACAAATTTTGAAACATAAAAAATTGGGATATAGAATCTTTTAAATTTCCTTAAAGCAAAAAAAAATCGTTTATTAAATCAAATAGATTAAAACAACTAAGGAGGAAGATTTTAGAAGCACTCATTTAAACATGCATGCATAATTGCTAATAATGATTAAATGATAGATTATAAATAACATATTGATTTTATTAAATTTCACATGCATGCACAATTGCAAATATAGATGAAAATTAAAGATTAGGATAAATAAGTGATGAAAATGATAGATTATAAAGTTGTACAATTATAAATAAAAATGATAGATAATTATAAATAAGTGATGAAGATAATAGATTATGAAGATGTTGAATTTTGTTAAATTTAATATGCATGTAGATTTTAAATAAAGATATGAAAATATAGAATATTAGTATGATAAATAAATTATGAAAGATGTAAGTGTATAAAAGTAGAAACATGCATGTAAAGTTAATAACTCACAATTAACAACATCAAGAACAAAGGGAGGAGAGAAAGAGCAATTCTATGCGCCATTTTTTTTTTTTTTACGTATTTGTAAGAAACTAATGTGAAAGATACATTAAAATTGAAGTGAGCTGAGCTATTTATAGATAAGTAAGAAAGTAAAGTACAAATAAAAAATACATTATGATCTTGTATGGCAAAATCAATTTTTTAAGTTTATAGTTTTTATATATCTTATAATTTTTAAGTTCATATATTTAAAAACAAATAGCTGAAACTATCTGTTTATCTCTTATTTTGATAATTGAACTTACTTATAATCCTATAAAACATCATTAAGCCACTAACTCCACTATCTCAATTATTAACTTTATCTACAAAACTATTACACCTATTAATTAATTAATTAATTATTAATTAATCATTAAGCTACTAACTCCATTATCTCATTTAAATTTTTTAAATTTTTGGTCTATTTAATATATTTATAAATTTTATGAAAATTTTATTTTAAATATTAAAATAGTATTATAAAACATCAAACAATTAACATATTATAAATTAGAGATGTAACCAATAACATTATGTTCCAATCCTACCAGTTACCCTACTAAATTTCCCTCCAAAACTAATTCATCTACTGTGTTAAATAATTAATAAAACAGTAACAATTATAATTAAGTCTTATTTTATTAAGTGAAATTGGCAACTATTAATTATTTAATAATTAAAATAATATAAAATTAAAATTAACAATAAAATTTTTACCGTCTGATTTGATTTTCTAAATTTCTGGTCTATTTAATTTATTTATTAGTTTTATGAAAGTTTTATTTTAAGTAGTTAAAGAATACTATAAAACATCAAAACAACTGACTTATATTCTAAATTAGAGATGTAATTATTATAAAAATTATTCGTATCAATATTTTTTAAATTGGGATAATTATATTTTATATTTAAATAGAATATATTCGTACAACTTTTTTTTTGTGAATGCCACATTTTGAACTTCTAGTTTATAAGTTAATATCTTGGAGAAATATTTTTTTTATAAGTGTGTATTTTACTTTTACAAATTCACAATGTTTTTAAAATTCAATTCAATAATTAATAGTTTTTTTAATCTTTTTCTATTAACTTTACCATATTATTTCAATTGAAAAAATCAAACATTAACTAAACACATTAAAATCTATCAACTGTCATTTTACTAATTAGTCCAATCACTAAATTTATTAAACATTTTAAATTTTATCAAAGTAATTTTTGTTTGTTTTATGAAATAATTATTTTGAGATAAAAAAAAGTAAATAAACACTTTATTAACAATGATATAATTTAAATTTTAGGGTTTCTTAAGTTTATTAGTTGTTCCGGTATGGGCCTAACCTCGGCAGGCCCAATACCGCGTGCGGCCCAACAAGCGAACTGGGCACGCCAGACACGCGTCCCCTTCGAGACGAGCAGGGCAAGCCGCCGAACACAAGCTACGTCTCCACAACCTTTTGTCGTCCACCACGCCGGACGAGCAGAACCGCCCGGGCTCCCCTCCGCGGGGAGAATAACGTGCTCGGCGCACGTTCTCCACGTGCTCCCCTCCGCGGGGACACGTCATCGGCCAGCTGCCCACCTCCGAAAGAGCAGGTCAAACCCACTTTTCGGGGATCTAGGAGCAGTTGAACTAGGGCGAAGACCACGTCCTGGTCTTCACTACGCCACGTAAGCCCTAGCAGTCATTAGGGTTGGGCCTGGTCATCCAGCCCACCTCGAATGACCGTTGGCCCAGCGCTGGGGTCTCTCTATAAATACCTTCTTCTTCAAGAGGGTCAGGTAACTCTTCTTGCCCCTTTTTCTGTACTATTGCTTCCACTCTGCCCAACTTCTTACTTTGGCATCGGAGTGTCTTGCAGGTACACCCCCTCCTCCTTCTCACCCCGGTGAACAAGTAGCAGCCCAACAGTGTGTGGTCAGTCCGTGATCCCCTCCTGATCAGGTCAGATCAGTGGCGCCGTCTGTGGGAACCTGAAACTTCCCCGTTACTCCGAGCAGAAAACCAAAAGTTTCACCAAACCTCCACGATCATGGCTAGCCCACACCGCGACGACACTCCGCACGACCTTGCGCTCAACGTCGCCACCAACGGGAAGCAGACAGGAACGGCACGTCCGACGGAAGCCGATGAAAGGGACGGGCAAACTGCTTCACCATCATCCGAGGAACGGCCCCTTCAGGCCGATCACCGCCCCCCGAGCCCGCCAGCATTCCACCCCGTTCCCATCCCGGCGGGAGCAGACCCGACGGTGGCCGCTCTCTTTACGGCCATCAACCAGACGAACCAGCTGCTGTTCCAACAAAATGCGAGAATTGGAGCATTAGAACGCATCGACCCTCCGAGATACCCCCAGCGGGAGGACCAGAACGGAGGTTCGAGGAGCCCCTCACCTCGCCCCAGGAACCGCCGACCGCGGCTGGAGAGACACCGCCCGCAGGCGACACGAGAACGCACCAGATCCCCGGCGAGACACGTTCGCGGGAGGAACCAGAACGCCGCGGCGATCCCAACTGAGGCACCCCGAGGCGAGAACTCAGGCAGGAGATCGAGGACCCGAAACCCGGGGCACACCGTGAACGACTCATCTCCCCACAGATCCCCGGCGCACAGCGACGAGGATGACTACCGCACCCCGCTATCCCGGGAGATCATGGCTGCCCCCATACCCCAGGGGATGGAGAAACCACCGACGCTGTCGACATACGACGGCACCTCCGACCCGGACGACCACCTGGAAGATATCGAGGCTATGCTCGACTACCGAAACATTCGGGGAGCTATCAAGTGCAAACTTTTCCCGACGACTCTGAGGAAAGGCG